TAGAGGTGAATCTCAAGTGTAAAATGCCGAAGACAGGGGCACCCAGACCCCTCCACCCCAACCCATTTCTGTCCTAGCTGAGTGAGGGGCATCTCTCAGTTATTAAGGCAAAAACCCACTAGGCATGTGTGATTCCTCATTCCGTGTCCAGTCTATCTGCAAGTCCTGTAAATTCTACCTCCAGAAACCCAGAATCCATTCACTCCTACTGTCCACTGCTACCACCCCAATCAAACAACCCCGGTCTCTCTCTGGGCCACAGCAAATGCCTCCTCACTCGGCCGCACTTCCCCTCTCCCCCAGGCAATCCACGCTCCACAGACCAGACAAAGTGATGCAGGTAAAACATAAAACAGATAAGCCAGTCCTCAGACGAAAGGCCTCCATGGGCTCCCCTGTGTTTTGGAACAAAATCAAAGCTGCTTTCTGCAGCATCCGGCCCAGCATAAGGCACCTGACTTCACCTCCCACTGCTTCCTTCCTCGCTTCCCCTGCTCTCTGCTCTCCAGTCACCCTGGTTTTCTCCCTGTTTCTAGAAAAGGCCAACCTTGTGTCCACCTCAGGGCCTTTGCACTTAGAATATGCTCTTTCTGGAATATTTGCCATCAATCTTCTCATCATTCGGATCTTAGTGCAAATGTCACCCTCTTCTGATGTCCCCTCCCTGCTGCCTGTCACTCGCTGTCACATTTTGTCCTAATAGCACCAATATCAGGAATACTCAGATATTTATTTACTGTCTCCCCCATTGAAATGTAAGTTTCATGAGAGCTGGATCTTGTCTGACCTGCTCAGTGCTCTCTCTCTCCCACTCCTAGAACAATACTAGGTGCATAGTGGGAGCTCAGTAAATATTTGTTCAATGAATGAAAAAATGCTTTGGATGTAGTCCCAGGTCTTCTTGAAGGAGTGTGACAAGCCACATGAGAAGTTATCTAAGAATATAGGGCAGGAGATGGTAACTCCTCCACAGGGCAGGAGACGCGGTGATTCAAAGGTAATCTGATAAGCTGATATTTGCTTTAGGGTTACTGGATGACAATATGCTACTCAGTAATGGGAGCCTCCAACTGGCCCCAGAAAACATGAAGGCCTGATCCATAGGGGTGGTCCTGGAGGGAACCCTTCAAGGACCAAAATGGAGGGCAGACAAGGAGCTATTTGAAGGCTGGTGAGTGTCTCAGTCCATTTTGTGCTGCTATAACAGAATATCTGAGACTGGGCAATTTATAAAGAACAGAAATCTATTTCTTTAAAATATGTTTTTGGGGCTGGGCGCAGTGGCTCACGCCTGTAATCCCAGCCCTTTGGGAGGCCAAGGCGGATGAATCACGAGGTCAGGAGACGGAGACCATCCTGGCTAACACGATGAAACCCTGTCTCTACTAAAAGTACAAGAATGGTTGGGTATGGTGGCGGGCGCCTGTGGTCCCAGCCTCTCAGAGCTGAGCGGAACAATGCAAGTGAACAAGAGGCCAGGCTTGCAGTGAGCCGAGATTGCACCCTGCATTCCAGCCTGGGAGACAGGCAAGACTCTATCTCTAAAAAAAATGTTTTTATGATAGAGATGCAGTGTCAGTCACTATGTTGGCCAGGCTAGAACAAAAAAAAAAAAAAAAAAAAAAAAAAAAAAAATGTTTTTGGCAGGTAGAGATGGAGTGTCAGTCACTATGTTGACCAGGCTGAACTCCTGACCTCAAGTGATGATCCTGTCTTGGCCTCTCAAAATGCTGGGATAATGGGTGTGACCCACAGCACCTGACCAAGAACAGAGATTATTTCTTATAGCTCCAGAGGCTGGGAAGTCCGAGGTCAAAGGGTCCACATCTGGCAAGGGCCTTCTTGCTGTGTCATCCCATGGTGCAGGGGAGAAGGTCAGGAGAACACGAGAGAGCAACAGGGTGCCGAACTCACTTTTATAACCATCCCACTCTCTCGGTGACTCACTCCCAGGATAACGACATGAATTCATCCATGCGGGCAGTGGCTCATGACCGAATCCCCTCCCAAATGTCCCACCTCTCAACACTGTTGCACTGGGGATTAAGTTTCCAACACGTGAACGCTGGGGGACATGTTCAGTCCACAGCGGCGGGTCCTTGCAGTTCCCTCAAAATCTGCCACGTAGGTAATTGAAGATTCCACTGTTACCCAGTGTGCACACTTTCCCCAAGCCTACATGCCCCCCATTCATACACATATATACACCCTCTTGCAGAGCTGGTGGTGACTCTTTTTATCATGTTCAGATATTTCACAGAGGTCTCGGGGAATGACCAACTGACCTGTCTCCGAGAAATTCCACGGAAATTTGCAAAAATAAAACACCTATAAAAACTCTGATATTTCATCATAAAAATCCTAATAAATGTTGGTGCTTACATATGCACCATAGAATATTATTTAGCGACTAAAATCATACGAAGTTTAGGTAGCAAGATATAAAATATTCATGACTATAATTTTAGGCTAACCCCCCTCCTGGGCATAGATACAGTATAAACATTATGCCATATCGTTATGATGGTTTGGTTAACAACGGACCACATATATGATGGTGGTCCTGTAAGATCAGAATACCCTATTTTTATGGTAGCCTTTCTATATTTAGATACATTTAGGTATACAAATACTTATTGTGTTACAATTGCCTACAGTGTTCAGTACAGTAACAGGCGGTACAGGTTAGCAGCCCAGGAGCAAAAGGCTACACCATATAACCTAGGTGTGTAGTGAGCTATGCCAGCTAGGTTTGTGTGCACACACTCTGTGATGTTTGCAAAATGGCGAAATCGCCTAATGATGCATTTCTCAGAACATGTCCCTGTTGCTAAGCAACACATGACTATAGTTATCGTATGGGATTACAGTGGATTGGCCCTTTATGTTTTCCAAACATTTTTAGAAATTACTTTACACATATCAGAATTAAAATATTAAAACTAAATCCAATGTCTTTTTGTGTCCGTCTGTGTCCCAGTCATGTGGGCCTTTCTGCTCTTCCCTCAAGCAGCAGGAGAAAGACCAGGGGGCCACGGGTACAGCCTCATGTGTGCACTGTGACGGGCATGGGGATGACGGGGCAGAGGGGAGAAATCACAGCAAAGCCATGATGGTAACAACGACAGCGAGCCACATTGCTCCAGCTTTCTATGCCTCAGGCGCTGTGCTAAGCACGTGGTTGACTCTGCACTTCATTTTCCCCATAGAGGGAGAAACTGAAGTTCGAAGAGGCTGAGGAGCTGGTCTCAGGTTACAGGGCTGAGGAATGACAGAGCAAGGGATCAAACCTGGTGTAACTCCAGAGCCCTTGCTCTTAACGACTTGAATGAAGCCAACAGTTTCACAAATATTAAGCCATTATGTTTTCATTGCTCCCAAAACCTTTCAGCTGCCACTTCCAGGTGTGAGTCAGGAGGCTGAAGATGCCAGGGCAGGCAAGGGCAGGCCATTGACCTCGTTAGCAAGGCAGCAGGGGAGGGAGCTCGCCCCAGTTCCCATCCCCCTCCAGCGTATCAACAGCAGGCCCTGCCGATAAGACACAGAGACTTCTGGAACGGAGGCAGAGTCAGGAAGAGGAAGGGGAGAAGCACCTGCTCACTGGAGACTGGGAGACTGCAGAAGATGAGCTTTTTGGGAAGGGTGGGATGGTGTGGGGCAGAGATGTCGAGGGAAACTCTGGGGTGGGGCTCTTGACCCCTCTTCACATGTGACTCTGGGAAGTGTCACCGGCAGAGGCCCGAGCCTCCAGTCCACCTGGGTTAAGGGATGGAGGCCAAACTCACTTTTATAACAATCTCACCCTCTCAGTTATACTCACTTCCATGATAACGACACGAATTCATCCATGTGGGCAGCAGCCTCGCGACCAAATCCCCTCCTAAAGATCGCACCTCTCAACACTATCCCACTGGGGATTAAGTTTCCAACACGCAAATGCCGGGGGACACACTCCCCCAATAGGGAGGATGGAACGCTGTTTGCATGACGGGGTCATCCCCAAGCAGCCCTCAGTTACCTGTGTGGTGGACGCTGTGGCAGGTATGAAGTGGGACCTTCTGGATCCAGACAAGGGGACCCCGTGGTTGGGGCTCAGGATGGACCCTCCAGGCCAGGGACCAGAGAGAAGGAGGCAGAGACCAGAGGGGTCCATAGGAGGCGAGGGGACCTTGGCCAGCGCTCCCTTTGAGCCAGGCCTCGGCTGGCAGGAGGAAGCGAGGCTCACTCCCTGCAGAGCTCAGTCTGGTGCCACCGCTAAGACCATAGCAGCCAGAGGGGCACAGGAACGCTGTCACCTCCCCAAATCACTGGGAGCCTCCGGGAAGCTCACACACCTGCCCGGAGGAGAAACTGCACGAGGCAGACCTGGATCGCCTGATAATTACCTTCAGATGCGGTTTGATTTCTGTAGCCTACTCAACTTACCAGATGGGAATTACGTATTGACTCATAGGTGGGGTTTGCGAGGTAAGCCAAATCTATATGTTTCCTCCAACTCTCTCTGAGTTGCGTGGAATTACACTCATGATCCTGCTAGGCCACTATGCTAGACTGCACGGTTTGAGCGCCTAGGTGACAGGCACTCTGCCAGGTGCTTCCCATGCACAGTCTTGTTCACTCTTCTCAGCATCGTATCGACAAATATCTTCCATCTCAGGTGCCCATGAAACTAGCTATGTGGCCTTGGGCAAGTTCCTTGACCTGTCTGTGCTGCAGTTTCTTCATCAAATGCAGATACTGATTCCTGCCTAGCAGTGGCAGGTGCATGGAATGCACTTGATAAAAGCTCACCACTATTGTTAACAGTTCTTTTGAGCACAGAGGGAGGTAAGGACAGACAGGTGATGGCAGCGGGGTAAAAGGACTCCTCCAGAGAGAAAGAAATTAACAAAACCACAACCTCTTAACTCTCCAGCAATGCAGGTGATCTTATTTCCAGTCACGAAAGTGAGGGTAAAAATTTAAGTGGCCAGAGCCCCGTCCCAGGAACACAGACATACCTGAGAGCCCCAAGGAGCCATGGGACAGAAAGGTGGGAGACCAGGAGTGTCCAGGTCCTGTGTATCCTCGAACTCACTGAAACTTCTTCCTGACCTGCTGCCTTCTTCATCCCTTTGCGGGCTCTGTGGGACAAACACATTAGTTTCCAGCCCAGGAAAGCCTTCTGAGGCCTGGAGACTCATCCCAGCCTCCTCTCTGGGGCTCAAGACAGGCTGTGTGGAGCTGAGACTGGTCTTTAAAGCGAGGTGTTGTTGGAGCCTCCTGGGGGAATTTCAAGGGAGTTTTGTGCGAAAGGGAAGCAATGCCATCAGACTCCTCCTGAAGCTAAGCCAGGATGAATTATTAAGGACCTGAAGGAAGCCAGGGCTTAACTAAAGGAGCCCCACGTCTATCTCTGCAAATATTTCAAACAATCTGGGCCTATTTTGTGGAGAGAAATTTCTTGTGCTGCCTGAAAGACAAGCAGGGAGCTAGCGTTGCACTCACATAGGGCAGTTCTCCGTCAAGGGATGCCTGCATTTCAGGGCTGGGATCCAGGCTCAGAGAAAGCTTCTTAGTGCTGCAAAGCTATTTTTAAAGTGCGAAACTCAATATGTCAGTGGGAGAGGGAGGGAGAGAGGGCTGGGGGTGAAATGGCTGAGGCCTTCCAGGCCCCTGAAGGAGCCTCATTTTCCTGGGTAGGTGAAGCCACTTGTTTGTTACCCCCAGATCTCTATTGTAACCCCTGAAAATAAATACCTAGCCTTGTGTTCAGAGCTGATGGCAGGGCCACGGGCCAGAATAGAATTTAATCATTTACTCTGGCTCTCTTTGGTTTAATAGATGCCATGTCTGGCAGCCTAAAGGGGATGCGTCCTAGTTCCATGTTAAAAACAAAAATTAAAAAAAAAATTAAGAACCGTTTTTTATGTTCTGTTTACAACTGTTTTTAACACACATTTGAAATGTTCATCTTCCTGTCTCTGTACTGGCTCTGAGGCACCCAGCATCCTCTCTAGTTGGGAGTATCCCACCGTCCCCCTCTCTTTTCTGAGGCTGTGGTTTTCCAGTGGGTGTCTCTGCCCCAAATAGCCCTATCAGAAATGAAGCAACAGGCTGGGTGCAGCGGCTCATGCCTATAATCCCAGTACCTTGGGAGGTCAGGGCAAGTGGATCACTTGAGCCCAGGAGTTTGAGACCAGCCTGGGCAACATGGCGAAACCCTGACTCTACTAAAAATACACAACTTAGCTGGGCATGGTGATACACGCCTGTAGGCCCAGCTACTTGGGAGGCTGAGGTGAGAGGATTGCTTGAGCCCAAGAGGTCGAAGTTGCAGAGAGCTGAGATTGTGCCACTGCACTCCAGCCTGGGCTGTAGAACAAGACCCTGTCTCAATCAATCAATAAACCAAGCAGCAGCCAGACCCACACTGAGACTGACCAGGCATGTATTTGGGTAGGAGACGGGTATAAAGTGTCATTTTTCCATTTGTGCTATATAGGAAAAAAATAGCTTGAATAGCAGTGCTAATAAGGATAAAAGGAGTTGACGTTCGTCAAGCACACACCTGGTTCCCTTACAAAGCAAAGGCAGTTTGGAATAAAACAATAAAAAGTAAACTTAAAAATAAAATGAAATAAAATAAATGGAAAATACATTGTAAAAACATCAGTTTGGAAGTGACTTGAAGAGGTGCCAGCTGTCTTCCCGGCACAGCATTTCACAGTTTACAAAGCTCGTTCGTTTACGTTTTCCATTTCTTAGGGGACTTGTTCTGGAGGTTTTTACTAGAAGCCAGGGCTGGCAAGTGAGTGGCGAAAAGGCAACTCTTTATGGAGGAAGTGTGCAGATGCCAGACATGGCTATAATATTTTACTTTTTATTTTGCACAAGGGAGAAAGGAAGCTTGACACTGGAAGAAAGAAAGTTCTGCGGATGGAGATATGTAGATACAAAGGTGTTTGAAATCAAGCTTCCTTGAAGTCAAAGAGAAAGTTACGTGTAAGACCCGGAATAACTTCTGATTCAAGGTGAACTTAGAATGTGAGAGGGAGACCTGGATTAGACCAAATATTGATAGGTGATGGTTTATTTTGCAATTAAAAAAATACAAATTAATAGTTCTTTATCCAGTTTCCAGTGAGAATTACTTTTGTGAATAATCAATGCAAAGTAAAACCAACACCAGCTAACATTTCACGTGGTAAACTTTGAAAGAATCATATCTTGGGGATAAAAAACCGACCTGGCAAAAAAAAAAAAAAAAATTAGACACTAAGCAATAGTAGCCACAAAAGAAAATTCATGAAAGTCAAGCTATAATGGAAAACTCGTGAGGATTAGTGAGTGGAATAACCGAGTGGACCTAGGTATTCTCATTTGTCTACGTCTTACCTTGATTGTAATTTAAAAAAGAAATGTAGAGATCAGAATGGGGTCGTTTAAGACATCTTTTGGTAGATGTGTTTTTGGCTTAGTCAAAGTGAAAGGATGCCCAGGTACTGCCATTCAGAGGCCTCTGCCCTGTCCAGGGCACCTGGGGGCACCTGGAAGGGGTCTCTTCCTCATAGCTCTGCTCACCCTCCCGTGCAGGTGAGACCCAGAATGGGCACTGCTTTGAGGCAGCTGACCAGTGGGATCCTTGGTCAGGATCTGACCTGGGGCAGCTGGTGGCAGCCAGGGCTGAGGGCCAAGATGAGTGTGGAGGCGGTGGCATGCTGGAGAGTGAGAAGAGAGGGCAGCCTCCCTGGTAGACTGAGTGTGGGGTCCAGGCAGGGAGGAGCCAGGCTTCCTTTCCCTGCTCTTGGGACATCCTTTCTCCTGTTCTTTCTTCCTGCCCTTGAAGACCCTCCTGTCGCTTGGGTTATTTTTCTGTCCTGTGGTCCAGACTCCAGGACTTCTCCAAGCCGGGAACTATGGTGACAGATAGGCAGACAGGGTGAGAGACGGGACCCTCCCTGCAGACCCTCAGGAACTTAGTGCCAGGGGAGGGGGCTCTGACTCCCTGACCCGGTGGGCACAGGGGCCGGAGCAGAGGGGAACCCTCATGTCATTTCCAGATTGGTGTCAGGGAGTATCTGAATGTTTGTTTACCCTTTTAAAATATTTCTAGGGGATGTCTCCATGCCTTGTTGAGCTTAGTCTCCTGTAAGATTCACCTCCTACATATTAAAAAGAAAAGCCAAACAAAGAATTTCAACCTCAGCTGAAATAACAACTCCAACAAACATTCCTGCACTGAGCACCACATGCCCAGAGTCCCTCAAGGGCACCTGGCCACTGGTCCTGCCAAAGTCCCCACTTCCCCGCCCAGCCAGGCTCTAGGTGGCCCCACAGTTGGCCACTCCTAGAGAGACTCCACAGGACTATGTGTAGTTTATGTATTTGTTAACTTTTTTTTTTCTTATTCAATTCCTAAAATGGAAGATCTACAGGTGGATAGAATGTTCACTAAGTAAGTCCTCAGCCTCCAAAACCTACAGGCACATTATTACCCTACACGTTTAGGTAAGGGAAAATAGAAAGGAGAAAAGGAGAGAGGGAAGGAGGAGAGAGGGGAAAGAAAGAAAAGCAAGGCAAGGCCTGGGAAGATTTGCAGAAGTAATGACATCTTTTTTCTTTTGTTTTGGAGACTTAGTCTCACTCTGTCACCCAGGCTCAAGTGCAGTGGCGTGATCTCAACTCACTGCAACCTCCGGGTTCCAGCAATTCTCCTACCTCAGGATCCTGAGTAGCTGGGATTACAGGCACGTTTTTATATTTTTAATAGAGATGGAGTTTCGCCATGTTGGCCAAGCTTGTCTTGAACTCCTGACCTCAAGTGATCCGCCCGCCTGCACCTCCCAAAGTGTTGGGATTACAGGCATGAGCCACCGCACCTGACCAGTTACAACAGCTTTAAATGATGAAAAACAGAACAAGCTGAGAAGGCTACAGTGAGGACTGGAATGTTGGACCCTGATGTGTGGCTTTGATGTGTATATGTTTGAGCTTCTCCCTTTTTTACTTTCCTGGAGAAGTTTTAACTTCATTCTGTTAAGCTTAAATGCTTTTATGAGAAGTATCCTAATTTAATAAACTCTTATCTAGAAAATGTTTTATGAAAAATACCTAAGATGTATAATAGGGAGTAGAATAGAATCTGGTGTGTAAAGGTGGGCTGCATACATAATTTTAAAGAAAAGAAAAAGAGAAAAATGTGTTTTCTGAAGCAAATTCAATTAAGCCAATTTAATTTTTGATCTTCTTATTTTTAATAGAATAATACTTAGCGATTTCCAGTTTTGCTGCTTATCTTCATTAGGACAAAGTCTCTTCCACACACCATGAAATCATACCCATTATGATGGGTTTTACCTTCTTCTTTGTGGCCACTATCTCTTTACAAGTCTTTTTTTTTTGCCAGGACAATTTTTTTATTCTTAATATGTAGTTCTTTAAAAGTTTATCATGTGAAATTTTAGTTGGTTTCATTTTGCATTGGTTATTCACAAAAGTAACGCTCACTGCATTGGATAAAGGACTGATCATTTATTTTTATTTTTTATTGCAAAAAGAAAAGATAAAGAAAAGGCATTTTCCATGGTATGGTTAAAATGTCAGGAAGCTTTGTTACATTGAAATAGTTGCTTACAATGTGGGAAAGCCTACAGATACAAAGAAACAAACCAACAAAACACCCTTAGTTTCCAGGGGCAGGCTCTTTAATAAGGAAGGATTTTCTCCAAGAAGAGAAGCCCTTCACCGGAAGCAGAGTGAGGAGATCACACAGGGAGAGAGGCTGTTGGACACACCAGAGATTTCAAGCCACTCGGGAAGAACTGTCCCATTGGAGCTTAAATTAAAACGTCCAGATTGGCTCTTGACACACTTAACTAAACGTGCAGGGGAAGAGTGTGCCTCTAGGTTTGGGAAGCTGAGGACTTCCTTAGTGAACATTCTATCTACCTGTAGATCTTCCATTTTAGGAATTGAATAAGAAAAAAAAATTTAACAAATATAAAAAATACACATAGCAATTAATGTAGGTTGTTTACACATAAAAATGTATGAGACCATAACATAGTTATATGTTATATATATTATATATCATATATATAACATATATCATATATATAACATAGATCATATATATAACATATGATAATACATATATTATGTTATATATACGTATATATATTACGTATATGTGTGTATATAT